CTGAATAACCCCATCCAAGCCCAGTTGCTTCATGCCCACTTTATCTAGTACACTGACCGTGAGGGCTGAAACAAAACCAAGCACGCAGAGCAGGGTACCTGGAAGACACAAAAGGTGTTAGAAATTCCTCAACAAGGAGAGAGCTGAATGACGCAACCGGCTGCATGTAGTAAGCAGAATTCTCTGACTCCTACTCCTGGCTTCTCTTAAGATCAACAGCCTTCCCCACTGCAGCCATACAGCAGGACCATTTACCTCTGACCACCCTGTCAGAGTCCTTGAGCTCTTTGTCCACTAAAGCTTCCAATGCCCGCAGAATTGCCCGAGGCCGATGAAGCTAAAGCCCCGCCTGCCTCTGAAGACTGTGGCTTTGCTGGACTATGGCCAGATGCCTTCTAAACTCCAGCAGGCCTGTGCATAACAAACCCAAGGTTAAAACAAGACAGACATGAAGAAAATCCCATGGTCCCACAAGCAGGGGAGGTACCACACACGCACTGGTACTGGAAGCCAAGTTATACCTCTTCATTTATGTGACCTGCTGCAGTTACCACAGCAGTCTGACCCCCCCGTTGGCACACTCAGCTCCAGGGAAGGGAGTCAGATCACCCTGGGTATGCCATAAGCACATTTGGCAACCGGCATCTGCTGCAGACATCCTTCTCTCAGAGAGAGGTCTGTATCTGTTTTGTTTTCCAGAGCCAAAATAATCTCTGTGACACATACACACTTTGTCAGATGTATTTATCCCTTCATGGGCTACTTAAGTCTCTGCGCTGTGCTTGCAAATGCTGTTTGAGCACAAAACTAATAGTGTCAGATGGGATGCAGCACACCATGCCCGGCCCAGTATTTTTCTCTGAGAGCTGGAATCAGAGGAGAGCAACAGGTTTCAATTTCTGCAAGAGATTTCTCTCACATAGGCAGCATCCTCTTTTCCATGGGTGATGGCCCATACTGTTCTGTTGTTTGGGAAATAACACTTTCCCATAATCACTGAGTGCTTGTACACAAAGGATGCCCCGGGGCAGGTCTCCCTAACATCACCATTCCAGCACACCAGAGTACCTGAGTGCCACTACCTAATTGTGCTGTGAAACAGATCACCCCTTCCACCGAGACAGATCCCATCCCACTGCACCAGAGAGGACAGAAACTCAAATCTTCTGAAGATAGGAGCCCTACAACAGATTCACACTAAGAAACATGTAATTCAGGTTCTGCTTCTCACAGAAATTTAAGCCTACAGTTTTGTTCAGGCCACATGCAAGGCATCTTATGCTGAGGCCGATACAGATATGCTACAGAACCAGCATGTTCTGCTAGCTCAAATACAGAAGAACAAACGCATTAGATTGCTCTTTTGTTTCACTCTGAAGTTTCCACTCCATGGGAGGTAGCCTACATTGAGTACTGTCTACTTGTGACTACAGATGTTAAAGTAGCTCAGGAAAACTGCGGACAAAACCGTCAGGCTGACGCTACAGCTTTAGAGAGGGTTTTCAGACATCAACGAAGGAAACGCCACTCCAGTGCATACAGAAAGCAACAGGCAAAACTGGGAAATAATGTGCCTCCTCCTGCTAACTTCACTCTCTCTTTCAGGTACTTTTCATAACTGGATGAAACAGACTGGCCTGCAGGTCTAGAAAACAGAAGGCCAAAGCACCAAAGAAACTCACCTCCCCAGAGTGTCCACTGCATTCCAAATTTTGCCTCAAACTGCTGAGTGAAGAAGAAGTTGAGGACACTCCCAAGACGGGAGAAAGACAGAGTCAGCCCAAACGCCAGTGCCAGTTCCTTCCCCTTGAACCAGAAGGCCGTGATACGGTTCTGCACAACTTGGAGAAGACAAAAATCCTCTCTTGAACAGACAGACCTGGCCAAGAGCATGGCACAGAAGCAACAGAGCGCGTGAGCTAGGGAAGAGACCGCTACACATCCCAGGTGGAAGTAGCATGGTACAACTTTGCAGTCCATTTTAAACATACTAAATTACGCTGGGACGTGGGAGGGCAAGCAAAAATAACCCCAAAGGCATACCAATCACATGTCAGTCCCCACCCCTGGGAGAAGGACAAACTTGTCAGAGGGGAAGACTTAAACACTTCAGCACACATTAAATCCATGCAACCCATCAAGGAGCAGTGTTCCTTCTGTCAGCAAGGGAGGTTCCTGGTGCAGAGCAGGTGAAGTTGCCTGGTAGGACAAGGGTCTAGGAGGCAAAATAAAAATGTACCGTGACCCTCTGGTGAGGCGTAATTAAGAATGTGAATTCCTTACTAGTAAGTGACCCGTTCCCAGAGCCAAAGAGCAGTCTTCCTGTTAGCATCATTGGTAGGAGGTATGGCGACCCCTTGAAATGTGAGCCTAGGGCAAAGATTGATGATCCCAGCACAGTCAGAAGAGAGAAAACAAAGACACCAACTAGGGAGAAACAGGAAAAAAAACACACAAACCTCAACAGACCTGCTAAGATCAGGTCAGAAGCATTCTTTGTCAAAAAGCAAAAGAGGAACCTCAGAACTTGCCAGCAAACCTGTGGGCTTCCATCCATTTACCCTCATTATTTCAGTTTTGTAAGACTGGTCTCTTTATAAAATTACCTGGGAATCCTCAAAATAATTAAAATGTCATGGTGGAGGGTTAGAGAGGCAGTGTAAGTCCGACAGAGGACCCTGAACTCAAGAGAATCCCCGTTCCTGTCCTGAGTTCCACTACTGACTGTGGCCTAGAGCGAGCGATCTTCTCTGTGCCTCCGTCTCCTCATCTGTAAGATGCCACCTCTGTGATAAGAGACAGAGCATAACTGCATTTGCTGGGACTGCTGGGGCTTAGATTATGGCACACACCAGAGCAAATGTCAGAGCAGGGCACACAACACAACTTCATCGGTCTGTCCCATCGAAAACAGATAATGTTATTCCCTGTTACATGCATCTCAGAGGAAAGCATGTTCACTGCACTGCTGTGCAAATTCAGGTAAGTCAGTGCTCAAAGGATGAAAACGGCTCAGGGGCCTTGATGGAGCTGCTCAGCCAGCCGTCACACACCCCGCGCACAGAGCTGTCCCTCCTCTCCCATCCCTCTGTGATCTTACTGAAGTGGAACCTTTGATCATCCCTTTGCACTGGAACAACAGCCTGAAATCCCACTTCAGTACCATTTATATTAATCGATCCTCAGAACTTACAGCGATTTCCTAGTTTGTCAATCAGGAATCCAGCCAGAATAACCACCACTGCATTTCTAGGAGGAAACAAGAACAGAAACATTTGTGTCTTGCTGCTGGGAAGTGACCAGCAAGCTGCCCCACCCCTCCGAAGCAAGACAAAAGTGACTTACGTCCAAGCATAGATCGCGTACAGCAAATTGTATTGCGCGGGTGTCATTCCCAAGCCTTCAACACAGTCCAGCGTGCTATTATGCCCGGTGCCGTTATGATGGGTTCCATTGGGGCAGGTCAAGTTCTGCATAACAAGTCACGGAGCTTGGGTTAGGCAGCAGACACAGACCAAAACCCACGGGTTCCTTTAAAAAGGAAATTAAGCTCCTGCCTACTAGATTTCTATTTCTCCTACTCAGTTCCCACTTCCACGATCAGGAATTAGAGGATTTGTGTCTTCTCCCAAGAAGCCAGCCCTTGCCAAACGAGCAATGACTGGCCATCGGCACGGCACGGCTTCCCTTTCCCTTCCTGTGGCAGCAGCAGCAGGGGCTCAGCACTTTTATACACATTTCAGTCCAGAAGAAAAGCCAGGAGACTGCACCACGAGGTTTATTTGATCCCTTGGTTTCTTGGCTATAGTTTAGTTTGATCTGACTTTTCGTTATATGCTACAAAGTCTTAAGGAGTGTGTAAATACGAAACTTAGCAGTAGTCCATATTAATTCACAGCTATAAAGCATTTGCTGAACAGGAGGAAACTAGTAGTCCTAGCCTGATTTAATAATGTTGGTTTTGCTGCTGAGAAGCAACAACTCCTCCACACCGTATGATCGGGAAAAACCCCTACATCCTCCAACTAAAAGTCTACCTGCATTAGAAAGTGGACACTAGGTTTTCCACACCAGCAGGCACAAGCCTAACACCTTGAATAAGCAAAAGGAAAGTGTGGTTTTAATCCCATGATTTTCATAGCCATCCTATTTACAGACCCCCCAGATCTGCTGCAGTAGGAATGGCCAAAGCTGCAGGGAAACCGCTCTCTAGAGCGAAGTGCTTTCACTGCCAACACTGCTCTTAGATGCTCCGACTGCCACTGTACCACCCGTGCAAGGCAGGCAGAGGCTAAATCTGCCGGAGTAACAACACGATGAGAGCATCAACAGATAAAAACACTGTTTGCACAGTACCTAACAGAAGCATATGGCTTGGTTTCACTACTCTATAAAGTAACAAAATACGACATAACCTTCCCTTTACTCCATAACCAGGTGGCTCATCTCCCACAGACCTACAGAAGTTGTGGAGGATCAAGGAATAAATACAGACCTATTTTTTTTCTTTTCACTCCTGTTTGCAATGCCAAACTGCACCCAACTTAGCTCACTGTCTGAATGGCATGGATTAATTGCATTTAAAAAAAAAAAGAAGTTACAGGCAAGCCATATGTATTTCTGCCCCTGCTATTGAAGCAAAGAACAGGACTCTCAGCCTAAACGCACTAATCTACCAGCAGATGGCACACACGAGTAAAACAACCTCTCAAAAGACGTGAAACAAACGCAGTAATGACAGATACAGAAGTACAATTTCTGTCAGGAATTCAGGTAAGACCTTTGGGACTCCGGCATCCCTGGAGAAACCCCAGAAATCAACTGGGGTCTCAGTCTGAACCCTGAACAACAAAATTTTCTAGCATTTGAGAATATGACTCGTTTTTACATGACAGCGACCTCCTATGATCACCCTGCACGGCTCTGTCTTTTGGGTAGCAAACGCACGCATGACGTGATACCTGCAGTACCGAGAGGTTGGGATTTGGAGACCCAGAAAGTCCTTCCCAGCCTCCGACCTCCAGTATCACCAGCCTTCCAGGCCAGTGGAGGTACTGATTGTCAATTTATGTGTCTTCCACACGCAGAGCGGCATGAATGCTACTCTAACGCTGAGCTTCCGTCAGCGCAGCGCACAGACGTTTGGGCAGAGCTGACACTCACTGAGCAAGGGCAGGTTTTAGATTTCCAGTTCTCCAGGCAGTAGTGAGAACTCAAACCTTGCACGGCTCGTCCACAGCAAACACACCTGAAAGGGGGATCCCAGTAGAGAAGATGTTGCTTAAAACATGCTCACTATTGTCTATTGGACAAGTTCTTGATAAGAACCGAGAAGTTGCCTTGAGAACCAGCTAAAACCGACCCTGCAGTCTGGACAAGAGCCAAGGAGCAACTGAGTCTGCGCAAGAACAAGGGGTTACTAGCGGTGACAAAGAGGAGTCATCGGCCTTCATCCCCCACGACCCCCACAACCACCACCAGGAGACACTGCGCAAGCGCAGTTGGGAGGAGTTTATGGAAACGACTTCTTGGGGCTAATTTTAATACGAAGCGGGAACAAGTCATGCATATGTATAGGCATATTTGGGAATCTTATGTATATGTAACACTTTGTCGTATAACTTCAAGGCTAGGTACCACACACGCGCGCACGACTTTGGTGGGACTACCCCCCGTGTTGCCCAGCGCTGAATAAGCATACCTACTGTACAATCTTAGAGACTGTGGAGTCTGTTTTCCACACATCACGCCAGCAGCGGCCCCTCACCCCCGGCACCTGCAGCACGAGCCTTGGGAGCGCAAGCAAGCCAGCCTTG